TTATATTAAAATAATAAAAAAATGGAATTTAAATTTTAAAAAAATCATACTGTTTGATTTTAAATAGTTAAATTTTATATATTTCCAAAAAATTAAAGACAAAAACAAATAAATGGCTAAAATAAGATCATCTGATTATTAATTAGAACTTAATAATAGCTAATAAATAATTAAAATAAATTAAATTAAATTAAAGCAATGCTCAGGCAAAGCTATTAAATGTTTTGAACTAAAATTAAACTATCTATCAGAATTTCAGAAAAATAATGTATTATGTGTATGCAGCACATCGTTGTGCAATAGTGGTAATCATAAAGAGGTCATCGACAAAATGGTTTTCAGTCCATTTGCAAGGAAATCATTTCTGGGATAATCAAAATACTGAAACGCCGAAGATTTAAATTATTGACGTCATAATAACACGTAATGAGCGTTAATCGAACGCATAACTCTCGAGGTCTTTGCTATCAGTTCTTGACCACTGCGATTATTTGTACAGTTTGATATATTTATTTTTTGAATATTTTGTTCTCCTCCTGTATGTTTTCAAGAAAGCACTGCTGCGCACATTTATTATAAATTTACTTTTCGTAAGAAAAAATAGGAAATTGTGAAAACTAATATTTTAATGAGATAAATTTATAATAATAACTGTTTTAATATTTGTATAAAAATGACGATTGGAACAAGCTTATCACACAGTCACTACAAAATTCAACTTTTCAACTATTCAAATATTGCAATATAATAGGACTGCTATATAATGTGACAGAAATTCGTCCTCTTTACAATCATATATTAGTTAGTTAATTAATTAATTAATTTGCTTGCTAGGCAATTTACTGAAATTATCTACTAAAATAAATATTTGCATCTACGCGTACAGTCAGGATGTGCATGTGCTCAGGGTCAGGCAGTGTACACGTCACGATCAGTAGAATGCACCCGAGGTCAAGCTCTGTACATTGTGAGGTCATAAGCGTGCGCTCGGGGTCAGGCCGTGTACATTGAGGGTCAGTTGCGTATATGGCAATGTCAATGTTGTGTATACGAGGTCAAGCTGTGTATACAACGGGTCAGTGGTGTTTTCACTGGGTCAAACTGTGTACACGGCAAGGTCAGTAGCATTTTCATTGGGTCAAACTTGTATATACAGCGAGGTCATTGGCATTTTCACTGGGTCAAACTTGTATATGACGGAGTCAGTGATGTGTGCATGAGGTCGATGCATTGAAGTGAAGTTGCATACATTGTAATAAGTGTCCAAGCATTAAATAATATATTTTAAAGTCAATACACACAATCTGCTAACATATTTTAAAGTCAATACACACGCATTCTCCTCACGCAACTAAAAATTTATTAACGTTGCATTGTTTAGTTGATAAAAAGTTTAATAATTAAATATTTTATTAATTTAAACAACAAAAAGTAAGAAAAATAATCCAGCAAACAGACTCATTAATTAATGTTTGTAAAGCATAATTAAAAATCACAACGAAAAGTGAGGAGTACCCAATAAGAAAATACAATTACGAACAGTAAATAACAACCTAACAACCTGTAATACGAAAGTAAGACAGAAAATATGAAAGTAGAAATGTTTGATATTTTTGCATTGCAAATTGATGAAGAAGAAGCAGAATATATCACCCGAAAAAAAGCAGTAATAACTAATATGAAATTATTAATAATTGAAAAAGGATTAGGTTGCAAACAAGAAATCTCAGCATCACAAGAAACGTGTCCTTCCGTCAACTCAAAAAATGATATTGTTGTATTTAATCTCAGTTTTGTACGTTCTATTCCCCCACGTAATCTAGCAAACTATAGAATACATCTCCGAAGGTATATGTTTTCAATTTCAACTTGACTTATTAATAAAAAATGTTAGCATATTTTAAGGTTTCATAGACATTTAAAATTTGAGAATAACAATAATTAAAGAGAAAATTATTATGGCGCTCTGATTTACCAAATATTATGGTTTGAACGATTAACATTCTAATACAAATATAAAGTAAGAATTTAAAATTCAAATTCAAATTCAAATTTTGAAACCTCGAAATCCCTCCAATCATAAATTTACAAATTATTAAAAGGAATAAAAACTACTGAATGTAAGTTAACAATTAAAATTTTCCTAATAAAATAAAAAACAGAAACCATTCATAAAATAGTGAACAGGAAAAGGTTAAATAAAGGTTAATAAGTATTTACAAGTATAAAGCATTAAGATTGCCTAAACTTATTTACATCAAAACAACATGAAGAACAAGTTTTTGAATTCCTAATTAATACAATAAAAATTATCAAATTCTAGTAAACGATCTAATAGAAATAATATACATGATTTATGCTAATTTTTCCCCTCGATAGACGAATATACAACCACTAGTCAATGCCCAATTCTTTCATTGATATAGCTTGCTAAGTTCAATGCCATGGTTTCTGTCAAAATCACCATGACCTAGCAAATCATCAACTTTAAGGTCACTAGATATTTGATCAGTACATTTTAAATAACACATCATTTTCTAATAATTAATAATCAGAAATTAGAAAAGAAAACAAAGAGAAGAGTAAGTTAAACGTACAAAATACATTTACTTGACTTTTAATTATAAGTTTATTAAATATATTAATTTTGAACTAATACAAAACTTACTATGTGTGAAGTTTTCACTATTTCCACTGCACAACACATAATCAGTCTGAAAATAATATCTTGTTACTATGATAAAAATAACATTTATTGTGTGATAGCTTATAATATATAAACATTTTTATGAAACTATTGATAATTTATATCTCAGCTTTTATCTACAGAACTTTACCTACAAAACTTTTATCTACAAAACTTTCATCTACAAAACTTTCATCTACAAAACTTTTATCTACAGAACTTTTATCTACAGAATTTTTATCTACAG